AAATCCATAACATACATAAAAGCCTTAAGTCCCTGCAAATAATGCTTTTCAACTAATTAATATTATTATTTATCGTTTAAACACATAATATTGTACAAATCTTAACTTGAAATGCTTATAAATATATATAAAAAAAAAAAAACATAAATAATTGGTACCAAAATGCTTCAAGTATCTAAAAATTTTCGTTTTTAAATTACATAAAAATATATATAAATATATATATTTTGTGAAATTCCTGTATATTCTTAAATTATTTCCTGATTTTTAACAAAATAACTATGAGTTATTTGTTTTTGACTCCTTTTTGACTTAAAATTAAAATACACACTAGTTACAACTTTCTACTAAAAGCCATCTTCAAAATAATTAAAAATCAAAGCATTTGTATTGCTCCAAAATGTAATGTTAGGCACAAAAAAAAAACCATACATCACTGTAAAATTATTATATTGCCGAAAATTTTATAAGTAGTTAATATTATTAAACAAATTATATTTACATAACCAACATAAAATATTATAGGAATCATAATAGTTTATCGGAAATATAGAGATATGATTATTTTGTTACACCGCTTGCTTAATAACTATAAACTAATACTACTTAATAAAATAATAATTATGAACAATTTTTTGTGAATGTATTTTTTTTTTTGTTTTATAGATTTTAAAAAGTATTATTTATTAAATATACTTTGGTAGTATTTTAAAATATTTCTTTATTTAAAAATAATGCTTGTGTGAATTTTATTTCAAAAAAAAATTGAAAATTATTTAATGTGAATAGCAGGTATTTAATTTAATAAACGGGCAATTTAGTCGATTGTGTTATGTATTAAATCTCTTTTTTTTACATTGCAGGTGTACATTACATACGTTTCTAACGGGGTTTTTGGTTATAAATAGTATTTTTTCATGGTATTACAACAAAAATCCTGGACGTAAATAAATTACTACGTGGCAATAAAATGAAATGCAATAGTATTTTTCTTATTATTTTCACCCTAAAAACCAGTCATCTACTGACTATAACATGGTAAAAATATTAAACACCTCAAAAGTATGATATATTTCACTTATAGATATACTAAAAATGTACACTTAAGTCGTTTTTATTTTTATTAGTTTTTTTTTTCGTGTAAAAAATATTGAATTAAAAATTCCCTTTATTATATTATAATATATTGTTTATTAAAAATTATCTATGAATTACAATACATTTTATAATTCCATTCATTTTTTTTTTTTTTTTTTGATGACTGCTTTTACTTTTATTGATTTTGGTTATTTATAAGTTTTAAAAATGTTATTACTCTATAATCCATTTAAAATCAGTTTATATCAAAACGTTCAAGTGTCCAGCACGTCTTGTGGTTATAAAACTCGATTTTTTTAAATGATTCTTTTAAAGGCTACATTGTATCTCATGTTGATAATTTATTTTCTTTCTACCTATCCACGAAAAATAATGTTTATTAAAGGCATTTTATATTCATTAGTATTAAGATTACTTAACCAATTAGTTTTATCTCCATATAATTGTCAAGACGAGTAGAAAATATATTTTTGTTTAAAAATAAATTTAATGAATTTTTTGTCTTGTCCTTACACTTTCACTTCGGTACTACTGTTTTATTAACTTTACTATAATTGTAAATGTAACATCAATGATTTTACTAAATTCTTGTTATTTTTTAAACATTGATGTTCATTAAGCTCGTTAATATTTTTAATTAAAAAATGCAAGTTATAATATCTACTAAAAATTTAAAGGTGTATCTATTCTTACAGTTTACATTATAAAGTAATATAAATCATTTTTCTTAAAAACTTGCAAGAAATAAATTTAAATTGAAAATATTTAATTCAAATTAGAATACGATTTTGAAATAATTTTTAAGGAGATTTGAAAAATAAATTTTAAAGGGACAGAAAAAATTGTATACAATATTTAAGGATAGGTAGATAAAATATGTAAATACGCGCTGAGTAGTTAGCTATTAAATAGTTTTATTATTTGTGGTTTGACGAAATCCTAAATTCAAATGCGTATAGAAAAACTTTTATGGGATTTCGTATTAAATTTTCAAGAATTTTTATTTGGTGAATAATTTTTTATCAAAATGTATAAAAAAAAACACTTAAATTTAATGTTCCTCATGCCTACAAATAACTCAAAAAGAGTTATGAGGGTTAAAATATTTTGAAAATTTTATCGTATAAAGAAAATGATAATCTAATAATATTCGGTAAAAATTGCAAGTATCTATTATTAATTTTAGTTTTGAAATATTAAAAATTGTTTGAGTTAAAATAACTATCTTACAAATATATAAATATTGACATTTGTAAGAAAAAATTTAAATTTCAAATACATAAAAATAGCTCAAAAATAATCGAAAATTTTAGTATAAATAGAAAATGATAATATAAATATTTGGTAAACATTTTAAGTATTTATGGTTTTTATTTATTTGAAACGAAATCAGTGTTGTTAAAAACTGAGATTGTAGAAAAATCTCTTGTTTTTCTTAATTTTTTGTTTGTTTTTCCCGATTATGAAAATAAACACTGAAAATTTTAAATTTGACTAATTCAAAATACAAACTAGATAAAATTTAACGTCCAAAATCACACCTATTTTTGAAAACATAAGCATTTTATCATCAACTTAGAATTTAAAAGTACCGTTTCTATGAAATATAGAAGAATCTAAAAAATGAATGTTTATGTATGAAGCCAGAATGTTAAATATTTTTGGTGATCCAGTTTTTTTCTCCGCGGTTCAGATTTTAACATCTGTCCATTTATTGACATCAAAATTGTTCTAGTATAGGTATAAAATATACACAGTATTATTAAAATAAGTAATTGATACATATTGACTTTTGAGAAAGTGTTTTCCAACTGATAACACAATTATATTCATTTTTTAAGAATACTGAGTAATTAAGTAATTCGAAAGTATATCTTAACCATTGAATTTTATTTTATTTATTTATGACTTCATAAACATACATCAGATTATAAAATATATTATATTTTGCTTGATATTTTGAAACTAGCTGTCATAATATTAAAGTTAACAATAATTAATAGACCATTACATACCTAGGAAAAACATAATAATTGAAACATTGAGTATATAGCTACTGATATACTACCTTTAATTGCACACTGAGCATTTTAATTATTTCTTTCAAAGTCATATTTATACCTTATCTAAATAATAGTTACTTATAAGAACTATGTTGTTTTGAATAAAAAGAAATACAAATTATGTAATATTTTAAATATTTTTAAAAAGGGTAACAAGCAAGGAGAATATGAGAAATCTCGTTTTTTCGACAAATATCATGCATACAACCAGTATAATAATATATTTAATTGTTATAGCTATACTTAAGATGTTATTTACGCACGGTGTTCTACAGAAGTTTTTCATAAAACTCTATATTTTCCGATAAAAACATAGCCACTGATAAAAAAATCTTTTTTGATCCCTCATGAGTAATGCCTTAAAACAACCGCAGGAAACGAAAAAAAAATATGTATGATACTTGACTTGTGTTGAAACCGAAATGACTGGCGGATCGTCGATCTCATCTCTATTCTCAAGTTATGAATTTGGACGCTTTCTCTTCGTGGTTATGTAAAATGTAGCTACTACCTCTTTTAAACAAATACATATATAGGGGGTATTTTTTAATTGATTTTTAAATTTATATAAACTCAAAACTTGTACTTCTATTTTATTTAAAGTACAACCGTCCTGGTAAGATTTACTTTGTGTCATTACCCCTATATTGAAATTACCACTAGACACAAGACTTTATTGATCTTACCTTGAATATAATATTATAGCGTAGCATATACCTACTGTGATATGAAAATGAAATATCCGTGACATGGAAATCACATTCAATATATTGCGCACGTATTAGTTTAATATGCACAGTGATTTCTATACACGGTTCGAGTGTTTCTATAATTCAAATTTTGAAAAAAAAAATGTTCTTAAATAGTTGTTCAACTAGAAGTAACTAATGAAGTATTCATTTAACATTATATTTCTACAAAAACATTTACATTTGCATATTTACTGGACGTGTATTATTTAATGTTTAATTGTTTTTTGTTGTTGTTTTTTTTTTTTTTTTAGTAAAATTGTGTTTTTTGGTTTTTTAATTAAAATATATAAATTACCATTTTTATTTAAATGGCTCTATCAGGAGTATCAGACAGAATATATTTTTCTAAAAATGTCGAAATGTGGGTACCATAAAAACTCAAACACCACGATAACAAAAACATGTATTTTTTTTTCTTGGAAATCTATATAGTGTACTTATTTACTCTTCAAACATGTTAATAATAATACGAAAAAAAAAAAAACCGTTTATTTTTTATTTTTTCATACCTACGGCTATTATCGGTATAACATTGACGTGTAGCTTACAGCCATCTAAAATCGGATCACTGCGTACACGGCGTGCACGTACAGTATTATTATAATATTGCGCACGAGTACAGGCGCTATACAATTCAAACCTTTATAACCGTTGTGACATATTATTACAATAGAACGCTGCAGTGGTGCGATGCATAATAATAACGATAATAATTAATAAAAAAAAAAAAAAAAAAATAAATAAAAACTAAAAAAATAACACTATGATAACGTTATCGTCACAAATCGTTTCGCTAATAAGCGATATCGCGCCGGCCGTCGCACACGGCCACGACACACGACTACGCCACCGCCGTTTCTCGCGCGGCGGTCGCGTTCACGCTTGCGTCGCGCCCACGACACGCCGGGCAACCGCGCGGGGCTTTGGCGCAATTCGCGCGACCGTTGAAAACCAGAGTGAATATCGTCCTCTGGCACGCGCGCACGGCTTTCGCTCTCCGCCGCCGCGGATCGCGTCGATTTCGGGTTCGGATACGGCGTCGTCGTCTCGTATTTTCTTTTTTTTTTTTTTTAATATAACCTTCGCCGACTCTCGTCTCGTGTTTCCTAAAAACGGTTTAATCCGAAACCGCCGCCGCCGCCCCCGAGATTTTCCTCGGGTCCGTCTTCGGGGCAAGAGGGTCGAACAATAAATTATTATTACCGCGTCCGACGACAGTTGTTCGTCACCGTTCACCGTACAGGAATATCGTTCGGTGCGTGCGCGGGCGACGCGTGTCCGAGTGTCTGACAGCGGATCACTGTGGTCCGCCGATCGCGCTTTGGCCGCGGCCAGTCGTCGGCGACCGAGCGCGGTACTGTGCAGTGTTAGGAATCTTCGCCGACGGAGTTTGTGCGGGTGACCGACGACGACGACGACGATAACACATCACCGGTGTAATTATTATTATGTCGAGGGCTTGAACTGCCGCCCGTCCGTTCGTCGCGACAGTGTGATATAGGCACACGCGAAGCGTCTCTGTCTCGCATCGACAACGCAGGTGAGTGACGATGAGACACAATCACGTTAGACGTAGGCAAATCACAAAAATCATAGGCCTTTGGCGGCAGTGGCTGTGTAGTATTTTTAGTTGTGGTTGGTAGAGGGGGAGTCGTATTTTTATCGGCCGAACGACGCGACGATGACGCAAATAAAACGTTGTCGTCGTATTATTGTTGTCTCGAACAAGGGGGCTTCAATAAATTATATACTAATTTAATATCATGACGGTCGTCGGGCGGATTTTCGGACGCGATTCTGTCGGGAGTTGTGATAAAGACAAAAATAACAGGGGGGGAAGGGAATATAATATAATATCGTGACAATTATCACAGAGATTATGAGAACCTTTTCAGATACAGTACAATAAAAACGAAAAAGTGAGCAGTCTTTATCAACAAAGTTTTTTTATTAACTCTTGTTGTTCGAATTCATAACAACGATATAATGTTGTATACAATAGAATTTGAAAGAAATTCCTTAGATGGCGGACGAAGAGTATAATATTGCAATTGGATTCATTTAAAACATTTTTGTCCATTACTTTCCATTGACAATTTGTCTTTTGTGTTACTTAAAAAACATATTAATAATAATTAAACCGTGTTTTGTTCAAACGTCTTGACAAAATTTTTATTTTTTTAAATATCTAAACTCCTTAGTCCTTGGTCTTACGTATATGTGTTACGGTTGGATCTATTCATAGTGAAGAGTAGACATACATATTTTTAACCAACCTTTAAAGGAATAATTTATTTTATTATAATATACTTTAGGAAATATGTCTTTAGCGATATTTTAATAACATATTGAAATATAAAATATGTTTTAAAATAACTCGAATCCACTCCAATGTGGGAGTAATATCTGTACTTAAAAAAAAAATAGTTGCTCTTCGGAGACTCAAACTTATACCGCTGGCAATCTTCATGATTTATTTTATAGACATAAAATCATCGTGCAAATATTTATTTTAACCTATTAACTGTTCATTAATACAATCCTTATAAATATTATAATCACTGCATTTTAAAACCCTATAGTATTACATATTTTTGTTATTGATTTGTTGATTCTTAAAATATAATCGTATCATTTTTTAGAAATATAATTACTAAAGAATACATTTTTAAAATTGTACTACACAGTTAATTTAAAGATTATAAAATATAACATATCTTTAGCAGTTTTTTTTATAATATTATTCTATATAGAACACATTACATTAATGTATGATACATAAACTGATTAAATTGAATGACATTTATAATACGATGATTTATTAATAACCAGTCCTACATAAATAAATAAATATATATTTTTTTTGTCTCTTTTATTTATAACTTACTTACTTTTAATTCAAGATCGATGTTTCAAATTTAATATTGCATTAAAGCAATATTACTTATAAGTAACTTATAGGTCATACTCATTGATTTGATTAAATTGTATGCTAGTGATTTTTATAATACACATTACACAATTTCTGAGGGGACTGATTGGTTAATCTTGTAGTTATCTTTGTAGTTATGCCTAAAAATTAACCAATCCAATATCCACAAAAATGTATTTAAATCTATTTATTTTCTTTTAAAAGAATAGGTAAAAATAATTTATTCTTGTTATTTATTAGATAAAAAGAGTATTATGATTTTATAAATGAAGAGTAATGTGATTTTTTTATGTTAATAAGTATATAAAATGATGAAATTATATTTTATTCTTCAATCAATAACTATATCCTAAATTATTATTAAAAAAAACATAATTTTTTTTTCTTAGTAGAAATAAAAATATTGAAAAAAATCACTGGAAGGAAATAATTAAAATCTATATTTATTTTTAATTTAAAATTTATTTTTACATCTACAAAACATTTTTGTAACACTGACGTTACTCAAAAAATTATTAATATATAAATTTCTATGCATATAATTAAAAATAATTCTAGCTGTTTTTGTCAATACTATTGTACTATGTTTATTATTCATTTTGACGTTCACATGAAATATTACTTAATAATATATTACCATACATTTTATAAATAAACATTTTCGACTTTAAGATTAATCATTAGTAATTACACAATTCTTTCTTTAATAGGTCGTTAGTATATACACAATAACAAATACCATAAAATACAACATTCCAAAAAAATAAATATCTAAAGATTAACTAAAATCTGGATAAATATTGTCATACTGTTTATAGGTAAAGTTTCTTATATACATACTTAGGTATTATTATGCTTTAAAAGTTAAAAAATGGTATTATTATTCCATTGAATAGTCTCATTGGATAATCGAATTGTGGATTAACTTTGTAATTAATTATCGTTGAAACTTTTATCTTTTCATAAAATAGTCATAAACCTTAATAGCTATAGCTTATACATATTTGGATAATAAACAAGTATCTAGTTAATATGATATCAGTTTTCATGTTCTACTTTTATTTATATATAGTAAACTTTTCTTAATTTTCAGCGTATATATTATTAATACGTATATTATATCATGCTAGTTTAACAACGAAATACAATATTTGTGTAATTATGTAATATATATTTATCTATAATATTAACTAGGTACTTATTACCAATTTAAAATTTTATTATTTACAATTTAATGCCGCAATTATCATCTTTAATTCTAGATGCGTAAATATTTTTAAAGATCAGTAACTCGTCAACAAAATTTATGGTGTAGTTTAAAAAAGTCAGTAACTAGTTAAAAATTAGTTATGTTACAGGAATTATTGGAAATAATTTAATTTTAAAAGACAAAATTTTGATAAAACGTCAAAACTAAATATTATTATATTTATGATAAAATCTGAAATATCATCAAAATAATTTTATAGTTACCGTTGTGTCACGCCAACACTATATTTTACAACTATTGGTTAGTACATCAAACGTAAACGTAGATGTGATACGTTTATGGAAATAATGTAAAATATAATATTACCAGATGATTAGAATATTTTTATGGCATAATAATAACCATTATTTTAATCAGCTTTTGTTTTCATTAGATGATATGCGCTTAAATCGAATAGGTCGTTGACGATGAATTTTCATCATTTATTTCAACTTGAGATTATTATATTGTTACATATTATTGCACAACTACACTGTACACTGGTGAGGGGATGTGGCTTGCGGGTTTCTAAGTTGTAAAATCGATTTCAAACGATACGACTGAACGAAATCGAAATCAATATCGTATATGGCACGGAACGGCGCAAAATACGGTAACCAGTACCATGGTCCATGAGTATACGATGTGCTATAATATTATTATAGTTTCGTTTACCAGCGAAACTTTATGAATCACACCGCGGGCTACATTATGAGCGACTTTGTTTACACACGACGCTTAACTGCAGGTGCACTGAAATACCTATTTACATATTTTACGCTATACTACTGTAAGGGTTATGTTAACCCGACCAGAATAACGAACTGGTGATGGTTAATCGAAACCGAATTGAGAATATTATAATATTGTTTGTGATGGCTCGAAAAAGAAACTACATGTTGTGCTATCCCACAAGTTAAGTAATAAAAACATAATAATATCTTAATTTTGATGACAATGATTTGTATTTGTTTTTATTAAGATGATTAAAAACCAATGATTATATGTTTTTTCTAATATACTTGCAACTCACTACTAGATAAATTGGTTTGTTATGTTTAAAATATGTTTAAATTTCTATGTTGTATATGTGTGCGTTTCGGACACACGCATGTGCATTCCTTAGTCAAAATTATTGAGTGAACCTACTTCAATGTAAATTTTGTTATTTATGTATGCTACGTAAAAAATCATATTAATGATAACATAATTATAACTATATATTTAATAATATCATAGCTTTTAGTTATTTATTTTATATATTAAATCAAATATTTATGTTTGATTTGAAAAAAAAAAAATATTTCAGTTACCAATGGATGTAGTTACTACAAGTTATTAATTTACCAGTATAATACCTTCATAATTGTTAATTTATGAATAATATCAAAGGTTATTTTTTTCATTTTTTTTTTTTTTTTTTTTTTCATGTGATTAGTTGTTGAGCTAGTTAATGATTATAACTTTTGGTTAATATGTGCATTTAGTAGTAAGAGACATAGTTAATTAATCAGATTAAAAAAAACCTTGTCCTCCTGTCTTTAATAATGGTAACACAAATTATGTATTTAAATGTCAATATGTTTATTATCTATCATTACCCCACCTATAGTGTCTGTATATATGTATATACATCAGTTATTAAAATAGTTGAAGCATATGCATATTAGTTATTTGATACAACTATCTTCCATCGTCAGGAATCTGTGAATAATATGGGCGATACGATGTGAAGTAGCTTAATAGTTAATTTGACGTTTCGCTCGTGGCTGGTATAATCCTTATGAAACGGAAGATGCATCACTATAGACCAGACATGATGATACCTTCTCGAAAATAATATAAGTAATACGTACAACACTCGTTCTTTCGGAATATCGTCGTCCGTAGACTAACAATATAATATGCACTTGTAGACGACGTATTTAAGGTATAGGCATGTCAGATGTGGACAAGAATACTGTTAACGACTTTTCATTTTTTCAGACTGACTGACAGACAAAGGAAATTATCTTTGTTACTCGCTTTCCAATGTACCGTATAAACTGCGTGGACCACAACCTTTAACCGCGATTTAAAAGACTACCGTTCAAGATATTACTCATATTAAAACATACTGATAAAGCCTGAGAAATTGAATACTCGTGATCAAAAATGTATCATTACTTCTACTGTAATGATAATCATCACGTTATTTTGATTTATATGTTATCATAATTTTTCAAACAAGGATCAATAGTTGTAAAATACTACCTTATGTTTATATGTGTATATTCACTTTGTCACTTTTAAAACGATCCACGTCAGTATCGAATTCGTTTCTTTCAACATTTAAACATGAACTTTATTTGAATTTTGT